ACAAGAACTGTAGTCAAGCAAACAACAATTCAGGCCACACATTCAAAACCTTTTTTTCAATGTGTAGATGTATCTTCCATACCCATCATGCTGATTACATGCATTACATGAGTTAAAGGAAAACTACTTTCCTAGCTAGCCAAGTGCCATCAAAAACATGTGGAACCTCTATAGGCCTCACAATGTATGCTGAAAGCATTCGTCAGTTGTGCCTGGAAAGACTAACAACATTCAAGTAAAGCAAGAGAAAGGCAGGAAAAAAACACCAGGCTGGAAAAGCTTCCTTAACTGGGAATGTTTTGACTAGATAATGTAAAGTCACCGCATGAGTATGAGAAGCAGGTTTAGATCACACTTTCCTGACTTCTGGTGGTTTTTACTATGGTTAGCATTTTAATCTATTAGGAAGATACTAGTTTTCTGCTCTTTCTGTTTTCATTTCTCCAGACAGTAGTTAATGGCATGAAAGGGTGAAGGGAGGTAGGAATGACTAGGTCATGGTGAGCTTTTCTAAGCATTGGATGGTGGGTTCTTCCATTGACATCAATGGGATAGAACTGGAGACGTTGTGCTTCTGTCAGCATTTTGATCTATTGGGGAGACGCTGGGAAGGATGAAAAGGGTGGCTTTAACTGCAAGCAGTAATCAGAGAGATCTGGGCATGTTTTGGGGGTTCAGCAATGGGAAAACATCAGTCATAATACTGGAAGTGACAGCAATCCCCACTGTATTTCTAACTGTCCATTGCAAAATGGTGTGTTTAATGCTTTGCTTTGCTTCTAGGGGCTGTAGAGAATGACTGCAGGTTGCTTTATCCTATTATCAAGAATAAAGTGTTGTCTTTGCAGGCAACATTAATTATTTCAGCTGGTGAATGAACTGAAAGAATAAAGTCCTCCAAGCACTAACAGAGTCATTATTTCCTCTACCACACTGCAACTTCACCTCTTGGTGACAGTGTATTTCCACTGCTCACTGGCTGTGGTTAAAGGGCATTCATAGAACAATAACATTGTTCCAAGAACATGAAATCTTCGAGTCACCCTTGGACTCCACTTGTTGTTTCCTCCTCCACTAGCTACGTCTGCCCATTTGCTTATCAGTCTCTCCAGAACTTCGGACCTCTATGGTGATCCCATCTCTTACTCACACTTTACTCATTTCCCAAAATGGCTATTACTGCTTTTCAGTTTAGTCTTCCTAAATCCCTGCTTTGAATTTGAGGTCATTTACAGTGCAGATGTGGATGAAAGTTAGTATACCATTAATCCATAGCAAGTACACGCAAGGGTATAAAATATTCTGTGTATTCAAAGAACAACACACCACGTTTCAGGTTTTACTGCATTGATTTATTACTAGTTTCATTGTTAAGCAGGGAATTTGGATTTTCATACAGCAAATGGATTTCTGCATTTTTGTTCCAAGATTGCAAATTTGTGCCATGTTAGCAAATTGTAGCTTGGTATACCTTTAGTGAAGCAACAGCAACACAATTGTGGCAGCACACAGCTCAATTCAGTCGGTGGCTGGGAAGGGCTTGCAGACGGACCCCTACTCCAGCCTGTAATTCTGTCAGTCCACAAGACAGCTCAGGTATTGTCTGTATGTTGCAATCACAAATGTAAAATGCTGCAGAGAGCGTGCCTCCATCGTGTGGCAAACACAGGATGTAGGATACGTACCTTTTCCTTCTGTTTCTGCAACTTTTAAAAGGGAGAACACTTGATATTTTTCAAGTTGCATAATCTTGATCCCAGGCATGCTGTCTTTCTGGAAAATGCTCTTCCATAGTCCTGCATTCTCCTTGTTCTCTCGTTAGTAGAGAAAAACAGATGGGACCCCTCCTCTGAGCTGTGCTTAAAACCACAGCCTACACCACCCTCACCTTTCATGCCATGTGTACAACCAGCACAGATGGAGAAGCTTGCCAGACATTAGAGACACCATCCCTGCTGTGGTTCAGATAAAAGTACAAAGTCCCAACGAGCAAGTACTTTTCCGTAGTAGTAGTCACAACTATAGCATAAGCCACATTTAATCACTATTCCATTCACTCCCTGTGTACCTTCTAGCACCTGTACATTGGATAAGGTGTACAGACTGGCAGTGGTTGTAAGCTCTATTTCAGCCAGAAACTCCTGCTGCTGTCTTCTCAGCCACCTGTGATAGCCATTATCTACTCTGTCAACTTATGTCAAACCCTACAATTGTGTATTTGCCATTTCTGGCTACTTTAGCACCTAAATAATTTGGTAATAAGCACTTCATTTCTCCACTCAGTCTAGGACATGGAGCAAAGACTGAGTGCAAGGAAAGACTATTTTCCCTGACACATCTTCTGATAGGGCTCTATTGGAACTTATTTATTACTCTCTGAAAAATTACACAGTTCAGCCCCAGAGATTACGGATGACTTGTAGTAAAGCTTTACCAAGTGTGTGTGTGTGCCCAAAGGTGTACTGTCCCCTTCCTTCTCACAGCATCTGTAAGTTGGTTAAATGTCAAGGCATTCTTTGTTTCTCACATCTCTTCTACATGAGAAAAAACAAGCAAAGAAAGCAAACTGGCCTTAAGATTCTAACAGGGGAAAACAGTATTTTCTTTTTATCTTCGTACAAGAGATGAGGTACCAATTTCTTCAAAGCCAAAACTTTGAAAAACAAAGAACTCATCATGAGGCAAACACCTGCCTAAAGCAGTCATTTCAAAACAAATGAGGTTTGTCACAGTTTAAAGATCTTGTTTTCAAACAGTTTTACTATACTTTTACAAATACTTTTCAAATACTTTACTCAGCACAGATGACACTTATCTCTGCCTACAATCATTTCTAATGCTGGCATACAACCTAATGCTGCTGAACTTATGCACTGACAACGGCTGCTGAGAAATGTGCTCTGTGCTCTGCTGCTGAAGTAGCGCTGCTGAGCAATCATGCAGCTAGTATGCCATGAATATCCTGTAAATGTCGTATAAAGTGGAAAATAAAAAGTCCTAAACTAGGATGTATCCAACAACTACCTGCATTGAGGACAAAATTAAGAACTGCTGTATAAGAAATAATTTCCAAGTTCAAACAACACATGACAATTAGGAAGAGGCCTGTTCGTCTGAACTTCAATGATAAAATTCTGTGAACAGGAAAGGCTTTTACAATACAAAGCCTTAATATCAACCATTTTTTGCTTCTCAGAATTAAAAAAATTCCTTGGGTTGTTCTGCTGGTATTCCTAGTCACAGCTAAACATAAAAGATGATTACAAATTGATCTGGTAACTAGGATAGCTTCAGATGAATTGCAAATGCGTGAATATCATACAAACACCATTATGTATAATAAAGTCCTATCAATATTAAAAGCTAGAATGAAATTGCTTAATATAAAAAGTTATCAGATGATTCTTTGCATATTTTGAACATGTATACACCCGACAGTCAAAAACCAAGACTCCTTAGGAATTTCCCTCCCGACAGTTTAGGAATGGCACCTTTGAAATCCAGAAATCAGTTGCTTTGATGCTATATTCGGAGCAGTATCCACATTTAAAGTTACAGAAATAGATTTTGCCTCTCTCCAGATCTGCACAGTCTAAGGCCTGAATGTGTGCACAGTATGGTCATCATCACACAGCTTTGTACTTCTCTGAACCTGCCTGGTTCACAGCCAAGGGTATTTATTTGGCCTTAATTGGAGAAATCTATTTTTCCTGGCTCCGGATGAGAAAAGAGTTTTGGATGAGTACTTCTGATGGTGATTTAGATATGCAGGTGTATGTGAGATAATACAAATGTAATAACTAATAGTTCCTTTTTTCTCCTAAAGGCAGCGTAATTCAGATCTGTGAAACTAGTTTTTCAAACAAGAGTGACAACAGTTGCATACCTTTCAGTGTGTTTTATTGCCAGCTTAGCTCATTCTGATCACACACTTTTTCAGAAAAACAATACAGCTGACAGACAACTCTCTCAAACACAGCCAATAGGAAGCCTATAGTTGTCCGGTGTAAACACGTCTGTCAGGTATTATTAAAATAAATTACTAGATTACTGAAAGTTTGCAAAATTATAGGATAAATGATAATGGCAGGTATTAATAAAGGTAATCTAATCTTTGTTAATCATTAATATAATCTAATTTGGTTGTTTTCTTTAACCTTTAGAACACTAGGACATGCAACTTTCTTATCTGCAGACTCCTAAGAAGCTAACTGTTCACTTATCTGATGCAGAAACCTTGTATTGCATGCAACGACAGCGGCAGAGCCTGTAGGATCTTTTTGTCACAATACTGGAAAACACTGGGCATTGATTTACCTGAGACCTAGATCTATAGTCCAGGTTCTCAATTCCCACCCTTGTGCCTTCTCAGCAGCTAGTCTGACATCACTACAATTATGGTCCCTGCCTTTATTAATACCTTACGTTAAAAATCAAAATATTGATAGATTATACAAGCAATTACAAGTTTAGAAAACAAAAGCTGAAAGCAACTTAGGCGAGAGGTTGTATTTTTAATATGTGAGTAGAGATATCACAAAATGACAGGAATTGTTCAGACAGTAAGGACTGAAAAAGCTTTTGTAAACATATCCTAGAGTCACAATGTTCTTTATTCTTTTAAGAGTGGTCTTATTGGTACTGCTAGATTTATCGTTTTTAAGTTTAATTAAATAGGTCTATCAAACAAAAAATTAAAAAGCCTTTTCAACTGCATGGTGTAAAAAAAAAAAATCCCCTGAAACTAAGATATACAACAGACATCCTTTCAAGAGTTACATCAGGAGTGATTGTAATAAGTACATGTCATCTGGAATTAGTTACATTATGATCACTAATACTGTACATGATGGTCCGTTTGCAGGAGACGGGGGGGTGTCCACTAAGAGACAGGTTATCCAACGTGCGAGAGATTTGATGATGCTTTCCCATCTTTTCCTGGCAGAATTCCTTCTACCCTCTGCTTTTGGTAGCAGGACACAGGCGACACTCTGTAGTTGCTACTGTACAAACAGAATGCTGAAAGCCATCACGACACAGCACACAGCCACGTAGGGGCTCTTCCTTTCACCTGGGGAGGAGATTAAAAAAAAGCAAAACCAAAACAAACAAATATTCAAGCATGCAAATTAATATTCAACATTTCTAGCTGGAGAAATGCTATTACAACTACAGTTGTGTGCTGAGGAAGAACGTGCATGGGCGTGGGAACTAAGATGTAGGGTAGGATATATTGCTACGTAAAGACAGAGCTGGAGGTGTTTGCTTTAAGCAAAGGTCAATACAAGGACTTCTATCCCACTATAAAGGTTTTTTTCTGAGATGCATTTTCCAGGAAAACTTTTTTTTTTTTTTTTTTTTTTTAGAAAAAAGAATATATTGCAGCTATCTCTTAGTGCCAAAGAGAGTCAGGAGGCAGGGATCAGAAAGGTGATCAAGACACCAACTCTTTTACTGGTTCTGTTCCCAGTTCTGGCTAAGGGCTCTCTCTGCTCAAAAGCGGTTTGGTGTCAGCTGAGAAGAGGTGTACCTCGATGCTGTCTAGCTGTGACAGCTGCTATATGCACCATGCATCTTCTACGTATGGTATCATATGGGAGCCAGTTAACTGGCTGGGGAGTTCACAGCATCCCAGACATGGCCAGATGCCTATCCTTTTTCTTTGCTAGAGAGACATAACATTGTTAGCATGTGGAGAGGGTCTGGTCCACAGATTTTCAGGTTAGTGATAAAAATGGTCAACAGATTACAGAAGTTGCACAGACAATGTTTATTTCTGAGTCTTTCAAATTAGTGTTACAGTTTTCCAGGGCAGACCATAGATGAAAATTAAGTTTACTTCATTAACAGATATATGTTAGTAAATTGAGGAAGTTCTATTCCTACCTACCTGCTCCAGAACAAAGTGTTACAGGGGTCTCTTGTTCACTATGAAAAACAATGAATCTTACCTAGGGAACTGTAACACAATCAGGGGAATATTAGGAATGTTAATCAGACTGATGATGATTTACATGGGCACTTTATTTAAATAGCCAGGTGTTTTCACCCTTCTACTTAAGAATTACTCTTCATGAAACCACTGGCTTCTCTTTGGAGAGCGGGGAGTCCCCTGTGCTGGATGGTACTTCCAGTCTACAAAAGTGTCAGGAAGTGCTAACACAGCAATGATGCTTTAAAGTGGGAAGATTCCCATTTTTATGCATTCAGAAGCATAAAGACAGAGGTGGAGCTGTTTGCTTTAAACAAAGTTCAATTTCCTTTTGCCGTGCGAGGTCTTTTGTCTTACTATAAACCATGTTTTCTGAGATGCTGTTTTCAGAGAAACATTAAAGAAAAAAAACCTGACAAGTCTCCCGAGTCTAGCATTACAGTGTAATCCTCAGGAAAAAAAAAAAAAAAGAGAAAAGAAGTCTGTTTTACCAGCAGCACCTTCAAATACAGGAGAAACAAACTTTCCATAGCAAAATAAAAATAAAATACTTGTAGTGACACCTCCCATAAACAGGAGTGCCTGCCACAATGACATTATGAGATGTTGTCATGATCTGGCATATATTTAATTAAACTTCAAATAACTGAATGAATTAATGTCTGCAGTTTCACATCTGTTCAAAATAAATTTTTGAGGAAGTCCACCTCCTACAGTTAGGAGTATTACAATTTTCATATGGGTTACACTTTCCTGCTCTTAATTTTCTTAAAAGAGAAATCACCATGTGGCAGCATTAAACATCATTTTGCACAACTTTGTAAATATGTAACCACTTGATGGTTATTAAAATCTTATGCACATGTGAAAAGGTTGTTTAAACACTGTGCAAGTTAAATGTAAAGGAAGTCAGTAGGTATTTTCATTTTTAAAAGCCTACACTTTCTACATGCCTTTGTGATTAACACAAATAAAATGACAGGAATCATCTTCAAAGCCCCTGGACCACTGTAGATGTAAGTTAAAAAGAAATTAGTGTTTTATATGAAAAAGAGAAAAGGAAGCAGCTCAGTATGGGGCACAGGAGTACGTATGTTAACGTTACTACATGATGGGAAAGCAAGACTATGTTCCAGATGAACTGCAGTTCTTAACCTTATCAAGTTGTCAAGGTCCTCATAAAACCCTGTCTGTATTCTTTTAAATAGTTTTTTAAACTGTTTCCTGCACATAGCTATTAGAAGAAATACACTTGCATTTAATTGACTAAAAAGAAGACGGTAAGGTAAGGTGTTCTCTTCAATCTTGAACAAACCTTAATGCAGCTGAATTTTTAGGTTTGTTTTAGCTGGTTTAGCGCAAAATTCACTTCTGACAGCTGCCACCTTGCCAGTATCTTTCAATTACAATACTAAAATTGGTTCTGATACGTCTATTATCTAAATGGGACAATACCTGCAATCATTTTAACAACAGGTCTTCACAAAAAAATGGTTTTTGCATCAATGCTTTTTGACATACTGAAAAATGTATGTCATGCTCCTTTCAAAGCCTGAGAATGCAGAAAAGGGAACCATGTATTTTTCCTTTAGGTTCAATGATGAGTAGGAAGATCTAGAATTACAAATTCAATGTTTCTGCTCTGCATTAAAAATGCAATTTGAAGAACACTGTGATGGATTTATAATTAAAAAAAAAAAAAAATCTTGGATATACCTTAATGCCAAGATTGAACTCCTGTTGCATATTCCCATTTCCTTCTCAAAATAAATTCAGAGTAAGGATTAAATTAAATATAAATATCAGTGTAATGGGAAAATGTCTAAAATCAGATAGAGCTGATCAGCCTCCATGTAGATGCTATTTGACACCAACAGATTTGCATAATTTAAAAGTGCACAAAAGCTAACTAAAGAAAGGAGAGGAAAAAGACATTTGTGATCAAACAGAACCTTTCTGCATTATGAATTCCATGTTGGTTTATTACTATAAGGCAAATATCTGGCTTTTGTCAGTAGTCCATTAGAATTTCAAATAGACAGCAGTTTATAAGGAATAATTGATTTCTTTGTATGTTAATAAGAAGTATGTCCTCGGTAATTTCACATAGTAAAAATGCAAAAGGTTTGTGCCAATATAACATGACATATATGAATTAGAAAATACAGACTAAGACAGTCATACCCTGCACCCCCACCCTTTATATTTCATGGAGGTGAAACCTGCATTTTTTAAGTTAGCGTATGAGTATGGGTTTCATTGCTACATGGAAATATTATCTTAACAAATAATGTATACTCTAGATAAAGCACTGGTCTTAAAGATTTCAAATAAAAAAAAAAAAAATTACCAATCCTGGCGCATTTCCAGAATATTCCCAATAGCCTGCGAAGATAAAATAAATTCATTAGTCTCTTGGTTTAATGAAATAATTGAAATCAACTGATTTTATTTCCTCTGTGCCAAAACAATCAAAATAAACCAGCTTGTCAACCTGAGAATATTCTCAACATCAGAAAAGAGCAGATACCTGCACAGAGGAGTACAGTCTATGAACTAAGTGGCAAAGTTCTTTCTAAGTCTAGCAAGGTTTTTTGCATGTAAGAAAAACAAAGATGCATTTACTCAGACTGTGTTCCAAATCTAAAGATTTCACCAGAATTTCTACATTCTACATTAGAGTAACCCAGAGAGAAAATTATGTAAAGAAAAAAACCAAACAAACAGAACTAGGAAAATACTGGTAGGAAATACCAAGAGGCCTCCATGTCATTGTATACGGGAATCCTTTTACGTTAAGCTTCTGAAGCAAGTTTTCCTGCAGGTATGAGAGATTATAAACCTGAGTAATTTAAATTTAATGCTTAATAGTCTCCCTTTTGTATTTCCCTCAGCAGAAGTAAATAAAAACGCCTTTTCTAGCAGAGCACACTCATAGGTGTAATCTGATATGGAGTACTTGCATTGAAATAAATAACAAAACAATTCTTCAGGTTTGTTTTTACGCTTTTACCAAGGTTTACCTTGCTCACGTCTCTCTAACGCCACTTGCCCAGGATGTTAAATCTCACAAATAAAATAACAAAGGAGGAAAGCGGGATTCAACTGTTCAGAACACATCCAAAGGATGTACAACCATGTATGCCATAAATTTATGATTTCTCTGTGTAACTAAAATAATTTCATACTGACTGCTCAAGAGGAACAACAGCAGGGACTGCTGAGGAGGAAGAGGGGAAGAAATACTGAAGCATCCTAAACTAGAAGCCAGATTTCAGCCTTTTAAACGTTGGTCAAAGTTGTGTTGAAAGCTTGTCTACAGGAAGGTTGCAATTCAGTAAAAACATCTGGATTCAGCTATATTGTCTATTTACAGATTTATGGACTGAACAACCTTAATTATTTTTCCTCCTTCTCCTGATATATTTATCAACTTCAGTCTACATTATTTGTGGGGTTGTATCTACTACCTGCTGTGATGGCAGTTCTCCAAGTGCTTTTACACAGTGCTCTGAACCCATACCCACAATGGTTTCATTATCTGTTTTCCCCCTTTCTCGGACTCTAGCAATTTCCTATTTTTTTCCTGCTTAAATGCAGACAGGTAGTTTTGGGCCACTTGCTCCTGCGTAGTCCCGCAGTCAACGTATCCTGTACTTCTTAAAAAATGTCTGTGCTACTTCCTATTTTATGGTCTTAATTCACTTCAGCATCAATCCCTCTTTCTTTTATTTCTGAAACAAAGGTCTAGTGTGGGGCAGGTGAGAACCGAGTGGTCCAAGAGACAGCAAGTGACTGAGGTTTTAAAATTCAAAGTGAAATGTTTTTTGACCGATGTACCACCTGATGACCAATTTATTGCAAACAGCATTCGAGCAATTTTCATTTTTAGAAAACAGGCTTTTTCATTTGTGCTTTACATCGTTTTACTTCAAGCCATAAGTATTTCTGTATAGTCAAAGCTCATTTTTACTGCTTTCATTTAGCTCCATAAGCAGAAGTAATAAATGCTGCACGGAGACCATCACACTTTTCCAGGCTAAGAGGTCACACAGTAAAACAATCTGAAGACATCTATGTACTTTTTGAAGATGCATGCAGGTAGAGAGGCATTCATGTGTTAAATCCTATAAAGTAAAATAGATAGCCCCATAGCACTGTGTGGATGGTGCTTAACAATTGACACTGTAGTTACTTTCTGTAAAATGAAGATTTACAGATTGCAAGCTGCAAAACCAACACAAAAACTTCCACAGCCAAGCATCTCATGTTGCCATCTCTCAAATATTTGCCCAGGAACTCAAAGAAATAAAACATAATAGTCCTTTTCATATGTGTATTTGAAGAATCTTACCTGGGTAAAAGAATATCAATTCCTTCAAACAGTCTGTAAATCTGTTAAATTTGCCTCACAATCTCAGCAAAGGTATTTCTGCACTTTCTATTTTTTCGACCATGGGTAACAATGCACTTATACTTGAAGTACTGTACATTGTACCTAGTCCTGGAAAACCCCCTTCAGGGTGAAAATATGAGCACCTCTCCTATGAAGGCAGGCTGAAAGAGTCGGGGCTGTTCAGCCTGGAGAAGAGAAGGCTCCGGGGAGATCTTATAGCGGCCTCCCAGTACCTGAAGGGGCTACAAGAAAGCTGGGGAAGGACTTTTCATAAGGGCAGTTAATGACAGAACAAGGGGAAATGGCTTTAAACTGAAAGAGGGGAGGTTTAGATGAGATATTAGGAAGAAGTTCTTCACTGTGAGGGTGGTCAGACACTGGAACAGGTTGCTCAGAGAAGCTGTGGCTGCTCCTCCCTGGAAGTGTTGAAGGCCAGGCTGGATGAGGCTTTGAGCAACCTGGTCTAGTGGAAGGTGTCCCTGCTGATGGCAGGGGGGTTGGAACTGGGTGAGCTTTAAGGTCCCTTCCAATCCAAACCATTCTATGATTCTATGAATTTTCCTTTCTGATGTGGGAAGTACAAAACAGTTAGAATATGGGTTTCAGCAGCTATCCTTCCTGCAGTGAGCAATTTACATACTTTAAGTCACCACTGACACAAGGATTGACAAGCCTTCCAACAGATGACAACAGCACCTATTTAAAAGGCTTGTGCTGCTACTGGAACAGCTCAGTGCCACATAGTTTGCTGCTGAGCAAAAGCAAACTCAAATCTGGATCTTCTAAACAGCTATAATCACAGCCTCCGGATGAACTGGGGAGCTCAGACTGGAAGAAAAGCTTGCACAGGCCTCCTAGTCTCCTGAATCTTTTCATTACTTTTCATCCCAGGTCCATAACACGCACCTCTTCAAGTCGAAACCTGTTTGACCGTTACAGAAACGATGCTGCCTTGAATGAATCTGCTCCAAAATAACTCCTCCTGAAGCAACTGCTCAAAGTTAACTGCGCTGTTCCTTATTCTCCCCTTCATGTTAACCTTCACCCTGGTTTGGATGCAGGTGAAACGTGTCAGCCTGGCTTGCATTACCTGCTGTTTTCTGGCAGCCACAAGTCAAACGTGCACGCACTGCTACATATTCCTGGCTTTCAGCCTTAATGTTAAAAGCCCTGATCATGAAAGTGGTGTTGGTTATCTGGAGAACAAAAAAAAACCCCAATAATGGAACCTAGTAATATGAGAAAGGGTTAAGTGGGGTGTTCGATGTGGCTGCTAGACAGGGAATGCTACAAAATGCAGCTGCCATGTGTTTACCAGGACAAGCCCACTGCCACTGCAGGAGGGAGTGTGAGAGATACCCCACTGCAAGGCTTATGGCAAGTCAAAGGAAATCTCTGCTGCATATAAGCTAAACATATCTTTCTGGTTATCAGGGAGGAGAGAATTATGTTGTGGTATGCATTCTCCTCTCGTTAGCATGAGACAGTAAATCTCCACTTGCTTTCCCAACCTTAAATGCTGTTGCTTAGGACAAAGCACATGGAAACACTCAAGATGCGTCAGGGAAAACGAAGGTTTAAAGTTCTGTTTGGCTTGGTAGGAAAACGACACATTTTGGCAGAAGTCAACAGCATGAAATACAGTGTTAGGAGGATGGGTGACATCACTTTGCAACACAGTCTCTCAACCAACAGAAACATCTTTCTTTACTTACTATCAACAGATTTATATCTTCACCAAAGTTACCACTCAGTCAGAAATACAGTGAATAACTATCAACATCTCTCCTCTCTATCACTTTAATATTTTATTGCTACTCTTTTATGCTATTAATTTTGAGCAGGAATAATGAGGTAAAAATCATCTCTGTGGTAAAATGAAATATCACTAGAATTTATTTTATCCAGTATGTCTAGACATTTCCATTTGAGCATGGAATATGTTACTGAAAAGGGACAAGGGTTTAACAGCATATGAGCTCCATGTAAACATCTACCACTCAGGAAACAAATTTCATTGCTTCCAGGCCAACGTTTTATTCTCCAGTACAAAGTAGTCTACATACATATATATAAAACAAAAATAAAATAGTATGTCCAACATCTATATAAATACAAACCTACAGATCAAACGCCCAACTCCTCCACTGTGTCAGCACCCTTTGAAAACATTTTATGAAGAGAGTTCTATTGTACTCCAGACAGATTTGCCTCAAGAATAAACAGAGTAGCTCCAGATTAAAGGAAATACTCTTTGCCAAGAACAGCACTAAAATTTTAATCAGTAAAATAAATATTCTTACTTCTTACTGTGTATACCTCATTGACTATTGTGTTATCTTCCACTAGCAGACACTCCAATTCCCCCCACCTCCCCTCAGCCCTTCATGAAGTCACCCTTTCTTTCCATCTTTACTTTTATCAAAAGAAATCTCTCATGTCAGTGGCAACCTCATGGCCCCGTATGAAAGGACACAAGCATTGTCATGTTAGAACTCCAAGCTGGAAAAAAGCTAGTGTCCTCTGGGTATCTTACATTGCTAAAAGAAAACCTGTGTGACAAAATGGCAATTCCAGAGGCTAATGCAGGTTTTCGGAAGACAAACACTCGGTGGTTCTTGGTAGCAAGAGTCTACTTAAAACTCAACACTTTTTCTGAAAATTAAATGCAGAAGTGACAGAAGATACTTAGGGAAGAAAACATTTTCTTTAACAGCAAATGATCTAATGGAAAAAGTGGACAAATCGAACACCCAGCACTCAAAACTCTGTCTGTTTTTTTCCAGCTAGAACATAACCAGCTAGAATTACCTCCTACTTCTATAAATATTATCTCCTTTGTATTAACCTTAGGTGACACATTACTGAAATACTACGGACAGTCTCAGTGGTTTCTAGGTCAAAATTGCACAATCATTACTTTAAAACCACAGCATTTAAATCACAGTTCTGCATGCTGCTGATTGCACCCAACAACCAATCACATTCTTTGTAGCACAAATAAAACTGGTAACCCAAAATGGGAACGAGTATTAACAGCGCAAGTGAGGTACAGACTTGGCTCCATGGCTGTCCCCATCTCCCACAGCCCATAAAATTGTGCTGCCAAGCAGGGGAGAGAAGAACTCTCTTGCATCAGTATTGGCCCTGCAACACCAAGCACATTCCAGGAGAACGGGAGCACAGAGGAGAAAAACACTGTTCACCTAGGAACATATGCTTTAGGACTAAAAGTGAGAAGTGAAGTTATAGTGGCCAAATGACAAAAAAAAAAGGTTAGGTTTTGTAAACCTTTCAAAAATTTTTCAATAAATTCCCTAAAGAATACAAGAAAACGATTTAAAGAGACCACAGATAAGGATAGCGTTGCTTATTTTAAAAAATAGTTTGAATTTCTTTTTAGTTACAAACTACTGCTGAAGCAGTTTCAAACTCGTACTTCCAAAATGCCTATTTTGAAAACAGACAAAAAGACAGCTTCTGCTGTTGGGTTTTTCCTATCCAGCCTTAAGAATAAAAAATAAATTATTACAGCAAGAGCTACGTGTAGAAAAATGCCTTATTTCTGTTGCTCATGTCTGTATCCTTCATAATCATCTAATAAGAACGTTGCAAGTTAGAAAATAACTAACAAAGAAGGATTAGCTGGCTTTGTTAGTTAATAAATTCTTACCAAATATTGCAAATAAGTGCTTGCAAATACCTTATTGCCTGCTACTGTAAGGTATAAAGATTTCTATCTTTAAAGATGAGAGAAATTTTTCAAAATCGGATTTGTATTATCACACATCATTAGGAGATGCTAAGGGTAAAACATTGCAGTTAAAAACAAACAGCTTGTGTATTTTAAGAATTATGAAACATACCCAGTTTTATTTTTGTCCAGTAAGCTGGGAGCCAAGGATCTGATATAGGCACATGTACATATGAGCAGCAAGATGACAGTCAGTAGACTCTGAAAGTTGAAGATGGCAGACTACGGAAGAAAATCAGAAAAAGAAAAATTACATCTTTGCAGTACAAACCTTCCCTCAGTACATGAGCTGCAGAAAATCATTGATCCCCCAGACAACACCCATTAAGAACAACAACTCCAGTGAGCCAAAAACTCTTTTGAACAGCCTGTGGCACACAATGGTGGAAGAACAGTTTTGCCTACTCAATCCATCCTGTGAAGGGTAAAGAAATAGCAGGCACAACGGTAACCTCTCAGTTTGGCTCCCAGGCACCTGCTCCAGCCTCAGTCTGTGGAAACCCGTTAGCAACATGCTGAGAGTTACAGAAAACAGATGCTCCCTCTCAGCCAAGAACAAGCGTAACTGCGGTGTGCATCAACAGAATACTGTGATGGTGATGAGGGTGGAGGTGAAAAGTATTTGGCAACTAAACCAGTGGCAGCCAAGACAGAGAATAACAAGAAGTATGTAGAAGGATTGTTAATACACCGCTTTATGAAGACTACACCCAAAATTCAACAGATTTGTAGGAATATATATACAATTAAACCCACCTGAACTATGAAAAGGTAACTGATTAATTTTATTTTCAAACCACCTTTTGATTTGAAATTTAAAAAACCATCTTTACTATAAATACATTTTTTGAAGTGCTAATTATATGGAAAATGCTGGACAAATGAAGGACATGCCTTAGGATGGAGAAATAAAAAACTATAGTTTGATAGTCAAACTAATCTGCTACTGGCAGTAAGAAGAAACGATTCTAGAGAAACTGCTACAATATCTGGTTGTTTGCTAAAGTTTAAAATATCAGTAAAATGCAGTCAGTGCATCTCACAAGCATTTTTTTTTTTAAACTAAAGTCTGACTCTTGTGTTGCCAACGTGTTCTTTAATCATTAACTTATGAGCAATTACCATTGCTTATGTGAAGCAATCTTTTCCAGAAGTATAAACATTATGGGGGGACAGAAGGTACTCGTGTAAGGACTGCTGTAACTCCATAACCAAGTACAAAATCTGGAAGAAAGATGGTTGATGCTGATTTCCAGCAAGTGCCACGTCACCATTCCAATAAAAAATGGATCAGCGACATTTTTTTCCCCCCAACAGACTCACTGGATTTTTAGTAGAAATATTTGCTTACTAGTCCTTTGTAGCTTCTAATAATTAGTCCCAAATCTGAGACTTAGATTCTTCTTACAATGTGAAAATAATCTAGCTGCATGAAGCATCTGTAGTTTTGTTTTTTTTTTTTTTTAACTATTATTATTAATTTTTGTAAACTTAGCATGTCTCAACTGACATTCTGGTCAACTGAACAGCACCAGGTAATACACTAGGCAACTGCTGACTTCAAACAGTCTCATTTTCTCTTTGCTTAGTTACCCTCATTTGCAAATTCTATTTAGTCTGCACTCCAAAAAAATGGTGAAGAAAATACAAAAAATTCACTCTTTGTGAATTACACAGAGTCAAGGCTGTTTCTGCTTCTCACACCACCCCACCAGCGAGTGGGCTGGGGCTGCACAAGAAGCTGGGGGGGGGACACAACCGGGACAGCTGACTCCAACCAACCAAAGGGATGTTCCAGACCATATGACATCATGCTCAGCATATAAAGCTGGGAGAAGGAAAGAGGGACATTCAGAGGGATGGTGTTTGTCTTCCCAAGTAACCGTTACGTGTGATGGAGCCCTGCTCTCCTGGAGATGGCTGAGCACCTGCCTGCCGATGGAAAGTAGTGAATGAGTTCCTTGTTTTGCTCTGCTTGTGTACACAGCTTTTCCCTTACCTAATTAACTGTCTTCATCTCAACCCATGAGCTTTCTCACTTTTACCCTTCTGATTCTCTACCCCATCCCACTGGGGGTGGGCAGGGAGTGAATGGCTGTATGGTGCTTAGCTGCTGGCTGGGGTTAAACCATGATGACACTGCAGTTTCCTTCTTCAAGCAGAACTTGGTGAGATTTAACAGCACATCAGAGTGCCCATTTCCACAGCCTGAGGCACACCTCTTTTGATTTATGTGCATTTTCTTCCTATGTCGCAACATTCTATGTTTTGAAGCTCTGATAATCAAATTTCTCTAAATAAAGGGGAATTATAATATAAATAAGAGCAATTTTATAAAAGAAAATCACAATATTTCAGTTCAGTATTGCACTAACAGAAAATTAAGAGAGAAAAATGAGAAGCTCTAGTATAAGCAAAGCCACTGGAACATCCACCACCCTTCTGATACTGAAATATAAAACCTTGTAACAACAACAACAACAACAACAACAAAATAACCTTAGCTTACGTAGATGTCTCCGTAAATCATATGAAGAATACTGAAACAGGCAAACAACTGGCAGACTGAATACCGACATTAGACAGGGCTAGATACACAAACTAATTTAAATACCTAAATTAACGGGGTCCAACAGGCCACCCGTGGCTGGGGAGATGCCCGTTAAGAAGGAAGAACGTAGAGAGGCTCAATGAGCAACTGAACAACTCTGCCTCTGCAGCCTGTCTGAGAGATTTCAGCATCCTGGAGGGCACGCCCTCCAACGCAGCACGAGCTGTTGCAGTGGGTGCACTACTCTCCCTTTCACTTCTGCCCAAAGGAGAAGCCCTCTTGCATCAGCCATCCTTCTCCAGCAGCAAAATTCCCAATTCACTTCCCTCATTCCTCATGCTCTTTCTACGACAATAGCTTAAGAGGTAAAAAGGGATAGGCTGAAAATGCGATTATGAGGACGCAGAGAGCAGGTGGGAAGTGGAGAAAGGTAAAGAGTAAATGGCAACTACACACAGCGGGTGAGACGCGGGAAGGTTTCTGCAATGAGTGAGAAAATAGAGAAGGGGCATTACATGAGTGGAGGGGTGACCCAATACCCAAACCCAGCCCTCAGGTCCTCAAGGTGAGACTACCTGCTTTTCTCCTGAACCACAGCATTTGCCAAATCATGTTTAATTTAGTCTTTTAGATTAGCTAGCTGAGCCATCACCTCTGCTCTACCACGTTGTAAAGAATGGACAGATTAGTAACAAAGGACTACACGCTGCCCATCATTATCAGTAGACTCTTGTCTACTGCACCAGGCACAAGCTTTTGCCAACTTCAGAAACCGGGGAACTCTTAATTGCCCCCGCAGAGACAACTCTTACAACCTACGAGAAGCAGCGTCTCCTGGCTCCTGTGGGTCTAGGAACGCGACGGGGCCGGATCCAGGAGTGACTGCCTCTCAGCAAAGCCAGATACTCCCTATCAACTGATTAATTTGATCAGTCCTCTGGGAGAGACAGCTGCTCTCGACATCTCGCAGCGCAGCGCCTGCCAGAGCTCGGTTCCCATGAATTCCTACAAGCTTTCTCCTGCAGCTGCTTCCCAAGGAGACTGGCGGTATCGGGTACTTCAACATACAAAAATGGCAGAAAGGCACACTTGCTTCCTCCAAAGCAAAGACTGTAAATGTATACTCATGAAATGTGTTGTTAGTCAATCAATAGGGGCAGTATATAATTGCTCTTTGTTGGGCTCTTCATATGTTTCTCCCGATACGCAGCGTAGGGCATCGCTGTAATTACAGAGGCCATTCCACAGAAACCTGCTCTGAGTTACACATTTATGTAATCCACTTTAAAAGGACAGACATGCATACTTTAAAATTTGTTTACAATTTTAAACTGGAAATGGAAATTTATTTCTCAAGTCGATGGCTTCACATTTCACATCAGTAATCCTTGTGGCCCAGCTGAATTTACAAAAAAGGGCAATTTACATCCAGCTGCTTGAACTGATGTAATTAAAAGCTGCTACAAGAGTCATACGTTACTCTGAATCCTTTTAAAAAAAAAAACTGCATTCACATACCAAGCTATTTGGAAAATGTCATAATATAGGTGGGTTGCAGTTCATTTGGTTAAACTGGGTTCCTCCAATCCAAAAGTAATTAACTGGAATTTTTCAAACATGTTGACTGGTTTAATGTAGATCCCATGAGTCTCATTTCCATTATAAAGAAATTTCAGCACATGGAGGAATTGATGCTATCTTTTAGACTGCGTCCACATGCTGATGAAAAGACAACTAACTTCCCCAGACTCAGACTGCAAATGCAGAAAAGAATCAGCACTTGTATTTCATTCTCGTTTTACACGCTTGTGTAATTAGACATGCTGAAATTGTGTACATTTGCGTTTGGCACATTTCTGACACGGTGGAAACACCGTAGTAGTTACATTCTGTGTTACTCAGGTAATTACACTTCCCCACCCTCCCTCTCCCGTGTGCTCTCTCCAGGTAGCTGTGCAGCACTATCACATCACCCGCAGCAATAAGGAGGTATTGTATTCAGCAGAACTTGCAAGAGCAAGTTTTTTCATAAGTCGTTAGAAATTTAAGACCAGGGATTCTCACTTTGAGAGCTACATGCCCAAAGGCTCTTTTAAACCCTTTCCAAAATTAGGAAATCTATTCCTTAAAAAAAAAAAAAAGCCTCAATATTATTTCCTTGATCATACTGTATCTTAGTAAAAATAATTCCATACGACATAGCACAGAAATAAAGAATGAATACTTTTCAAAGTTTTCTTGTGTCCAGATTAGTAGTGGTGGCATGTATTAGAAATACTCATGGCAAATATACGGTAGTTAGAAGACAAAATTACAGCTGGAGGCATTTGAATGTCTCCCATCCAAGTCTGCATCTGATCAGCGTAGCTGTCAGCACAGAGGACACTGGGACAAAACAGGGAGCTAAAAGGAAAGGAATGGTCTCCAGTTGCCCCTGGAAGATGCCATCACAGAGCCCGCTACTCAGGAGCAGCAGACGGTGCAACAGCTCCTTTATCTGGGGTGAGGACAGAGGGACAGAGGAGCTTGTGGATGGAGTAAGAAGAAATCTATGGAATAGTATGTGGTAATTTAATATATTTTAGTAAGTGTTGATTTAGAGTGAAAAAATTTCCTGTGTGGCTCAGAAAGGGAATCCTGATGAGCTGTAACCTGATTGCAACCTGATTAT